CCCCCCTCCTCCCACACACACACACACACACACTAAGGGGTTAGCCCCCTCTCTCCATGAGCCCCACTTACCTCCGGCTGTGCTGGGGGTTGGCAGGGGGCTCTGCACCTGCTGGAGGGTTTCTGGGGGGCTTTGGGGGAGCGGGGGCACAGCGGGCTTTCACCTGCGTGTCTCTCGCTGCTCCCGAGCCTAACTGGGCAAATGATGTGCACATGAAAGTTCAGTTAAAGCCATGATGCTCAGATGAGAAATTTGTTCCAGTTTACTAACTACTATTCATGTTGACTCAGGATTTACACTTACAAACATAGATCTAACAATGACAACAAGTTTAGACAGCAACCTTTGAAACCAATATTGAATTGCCCTTTACCTGCTTGGATTTTGTTTTCCTCCATGCTCCTTTCCCATGTTTGGATCCTCCCATGCTTTCACCATGGCTCCTGCAGTGTAGACCATGCTGCTTTTTTTTTTTTGTTTGATTTGGGTGGGGGGAGGGTTGGTTTTTGGGGGGTTTTTTGCAGCTTGTTTGTTTGTTTTGCTACTAGGATTTCCCAGTACCAAGTTTTGCTTCTGTACTGGAAATCATGTCAGCTTGCACCTTTGCTTGCAGCACCGCAAAGAACATGTGTTTTGCATGTTTGGATCTAGTCCTAGTGTTTGTTAATGTCAACAGACAGACTTTTAGGCTTAATATTTCCAAAGAATGTTATACAAAATATGCCTGTCTAACCTACCTATTATATATATAATGTTTAAAGCTTCTTCAGTTGAAATAGAAACATTTAATATCCCTGAAGATCCAAATTCAGTTCCCCATACTCAGGATAAATACTGATATTACTGTAAAGTAGTATTTTCATAAGTGTGACAGGGGGCCATTCTCAGGGCCAGTCACAATGTTGGCCCACCCACCTGTCTAGGGCAGTCCACCTGTATGATTCATCTGCCATGCCTTTCTTGTATGTTAATGGTTGTTTGTAGGTGAGAGACTGCCCATTTAATGTCCTGATGCCAATGGGATAATACATGGCTCCAACCTACCCTTTACCGTGTCCCATGCCTCACAGATGACATCCACAAAGACTTGCAACTCCCCTGGCCCCATTACTGGGCCATACTTAGCCTCTGACCCAAACTTAGCCTCAGGCATCCATGGACATACCTTGGCCTGGCCTCTGGCCCAACTTGGCCTCAGGTGTCCTTAGATGTGCCTGGAGCACATGCCCCCCTCTGGGGCCTCTACTCTGCCCCCTCACTGGGCTCCTTGCCTCTCACACTCTACCCCCTCACTGGGACTACTGGGCCTTGTGCCCCTTGGGCCTCAGGCGTTTGTCAACATACCTGGAGCTCACTCTCAGCCTCTCAACTAGGCCTTGCTCTTATTCAGGTACTGGCCCTTGGTCCTTCCTGGCCCCTGTGTTGTCACCCAATCCTGGTGCTTTTCTCTCAGGGTGTACTACCCTAGCCTTTCCCCTCCACAGGGTCACCCACAAGGCAATGGGGGTTGAGACTTTCTGGCACCCCATACTTGTTTTTCACTAGGGAGGCACTAATGTGGCCTTTCCTGGAGACTGCCCTGCCACAGGCAGCCCCAGAACACCATCCAACCCCAACAGGGTTTAGTTTTAAGTCATTCCCTAGGACCAATACAGGCCTACCTGCCTTGGTCTTTCTTTTCCTCACTGGGCTGCTACATGTTCTTCCATCTGGGTTGCTCATTTCTGGGCACTTTATTACAGCCTACACCACATCACATACCCTCAGTCACTGGCCCCAACTCACTCAGACCACCTTATAGGATTCTTCCCATCAGAAGGCTGGGCTTCAGTCTCCATCATTTCAGTGTGCTGACCAGCTGACCACGTATCCTATCTTGGCATGCCTCTCCCATTGAGGGAACCTTTAGCCTCTTTTAGGCTCTGGCCCTGCCTCTAGACCAGTTGGGGTGCCAGTAGCTCTCTGCAGCCCTGGCCTTCCCCTTGCAGTGGCCTTACTTGTCCTTTGGCCTGTCAGCCCTGCCCCCCTTGCACTGACCAGTCGAGAGTCCAAGGATCAGTCTGCAAGCAGCTGACCTTCCTACTCAGCAGAGGTCCACCTCTGGGCCCCATCTTACAGCAGGCCTCCCTCACTGGGCTTGCCTGGTGCCCCACCATTCTTATATCAAGCAGCCCTTCAATCCACTGGGCTCATCTGAGCCCCTGTCCACAGTCACCCCCAGTTCTAATCCAGGGCTTACCTAGTGCCTTAGTAGGCCCACAAGTTCTAAGCCCCTTCCTACGCTGGCCTGTTCCTTCTATAGGCCTAGGTGTACTTGGCCTCTCCTCATCTCCAGGCCTACATCCACTTCCTTGGGGCTGGGAACCCCACTGGGTCCCTAGGAAGCTCCTCCTTTCACATAGTTCTTACTCTGACCTTCAGAATGTTCCTGGCAGCAGCAGCTCTCCTGCTGGGCAAAGTTACAATAGTGGCAGGCCAGCAGCAACTGCTGGCTCTGCTCCTCAGGGCCAGTTCTTATAGTGAGACTGTTCAGCCCTGCTCCAATCAGGCAGCCTCCTGGCTGTCATGCGATCACCTGATTAGCCCTGCCATCACCTGCAGGCTGCCTCACAGCCTGTTCAAACCCTTAAAGTGGCAAGCACCCAAAGGTGTGTACTTGTTATAAATACAATAAGTATTTATAACCATAAAAATCTTTTAAATACATCAGAAGTAGGAAGCCAGATAGAGCATTTGTGGGACCATTACATGACCAAGGTGTAAAAAGTGCACTCGGGGTGATAAGGCATAGTAGAGAAACAGAAGGAACTGGAAATTCCCATGCCAGATCAATCCTCTCTAGTAGATGGGCTTGAAGAGTTGGATCACACTGAAGTGACATCAGAGGAAGTTTTACACCACATCTATAAACTAAACTAATAAGTCACCATAAGCTGATGTCATTCACCTGAGAGTTCCGAAGGATCTCAAAGGTGAAATTATGGAACTGCTGACAATAGTATGTAAACTATCACTTCAAACAGCTTCTATGACAGAGGATAGGTGGGTTGCTAACTGTAACAGGCTGTGTATTTCAGGGTTTGCAGCCCAGCTGCAGGTTATAGGAAGGTGATTGCAGGCCAGCCTAGGAGGACTGGGTCAGTTGATGAGAATAATGGTCTGGCCCAGAGGATTTTGAAAGCTGTCAGGGAAGGGAGCTGAGGGTACAGAGGGAAAAATTGTATAGCTATAGGCTTCAGCACTGAACCAAGGTACGCTGAAAAGACCACAGGGTTTGGTGTTTGTCATTTATTTTTTATGTGTTAGCTTGTTTCATTCATGCTTTATGTTTGCTTCTTGTGGGTATAAGTTTGCTGAAGGAAAATAAAGACTATGGTGTGCTACTTGAAAAAAACCATGACAGGTCATGGAGTATGTACGCAAACTAAAAACTAAGCCATGGGGACAGGAGCTCTGCTAAAATGGCTGGAGGGGCTGCATAAACAGTTCCAGAAAGTCCAAATCCAGCAGCACCAGTTCCTGACAGAACAGCAGCAGCAAATGCAGCAGTTCCAGAGAGAACAGCAACAGCAGGAGTTCCTGTAGAAACAACTGGATATCAGATGGATCCCCATCTATGCTGGTGAGTTGCTGGGTTCTCTGAGATTGGAGGGTAGGGTCCTTCCCAAGATTTTTTTTGGAGCAAGTGGTGGAGACTTACCAGTGGTCCCAGGATACATGGGACATGAAAGTGCCCTGGATGACTAGTTTGGAGGAATCCACCTGAAGGGTAGAAGATTTCATGGGGGCTGAGAGAGAATGTTGAGTGCCCTTGGGGAACTGGCAGTTATGGGGCTAAAGGAAGCTGGGCTTATGAGGACAGGCCTGGGACTGTAGGAAGGGGTCCAGTAGGTTGCTACCTCAGTCACTGTCATGACCCTAGCTAGGAGGAGGGGGCTTGGATGACACCCCTAAAAAATAAAGCTTCTGGGTCCTCCCCTCAGCCCAGGAAAGTGAAGGGAGGCACAATTAACATGTGGGGAGAAGGGAAACCAGTTGCAGGACTGCCAACAGATGGACTACAGCTATACTTATGCCTATGTTTCAGAGGTGGGGCAGAAGAACCCAGACTCAAGAAGATATGTGATCCCAGTCCAAGTTGGGGACACCATTTCAGACCAGACTATGGTGTGCTACTGGACAACCCACTGTATCAATATAACACCATCCTCAAAAAGGGCTCCAGAGGTGATGCCGGGAACTACAGACCAGCAAGTCTGAGTTGCATCCCTTGCAATTTGGTAGAATCAGCAGTCATGTGCACAAATATGATCTGCTGGGGAAGAGGTAACATGGATTGTGTAAAGAGAAATCCTACATCAAATCTGCTGGATTTATTTAAGGGTATTAATAATCTTATGAACAGGGGAGATCCAGTTGACATAATATATCTGGACTTTCAAAAAGTATTCAATAAGATCTCTCAACTGCTAAAATACTGCTTTGTCATAGATTTAAAGGGAAAGCTATTTTGTGGATTGAAAGATGACTAAAAGATAGGGAGTAAGGGGGAGGGCTAAGTGATCACTTTTCAGGACAGAGGGAGGTCAAAAGTGGAATCCCATAGGATTCCTATCAATATTTTAACTTTTTTATCACTGGCCTGGAAATGGGTGTGCACAGTGAAACCTTCAAGCTTGCAGGTGATACCAAATTATTCAAGGTTGTCAAATCCTAAACTGATGGAAAGGAGCTGCAGAAAATCTCACCAAGGTTAGTGAGTGGGCAAAAAAATGGCAGATGAACTTCAGTATTGCTAATTGCAAGGTAATGCACCTAAGGGAAAAATAACTGCAGCTATAAATACACAATGCTGGATTCTGGACTAGCTCTTATGACTCTGGAAAGACACCTTGGAGTCATTGTAGATAGTTCTCTAAAAACATCATCTCAATGTGCAGCAGTGACCAAAAAAGCCAATAAGATGTTGGATGTCATTAAGCACATGCATTTCATTTGGCCTGAGGTTGCTCTGGTATGAACTGCTCTAGAGTAAGCACTTTCACACAGGTGTCTACACATGCAGGGATTAAGGAACATATTTGCTACTCTCCACACCAAGTTTTCTGCAGCCCTGCAATGGGCCTCTGCCATCACTGGTGGGGAGCTCTAGGTTCCTCCTGGGTGCTACCCCAGGGACTGGCAGGGAGCACTGAGCAAAAAGACAGCTGTGTCCTGGCCCTAGGGGACTGCCTTCTGCTGGGGCAGGGACAATGTCCCCCTGCCCTTGCAGCGGGGAGGTCCTGGCCCTGGCTTCCCAATCAGGGGCATAGGACTTGGAAAAAGCTATAGGGGTGGGATAGGTCCCAGACCCCTGTCCAGATCCACCAGTGGTAATGAAGTGAAGTGAAGGGAGTGGACTCACAGGGTCTCTAGAGTAACAAATTCAGAGAATTGTTAGGCCTCTGTTACCCTGCCAGCCTACTATTTGGTGGGCCAAAAAGGAACTCTTCTCCAAGTATTGACTTGCAGCCTAGTTCCACCCAGGGAGCAAATATACCAATAAATATGTGACTCCAGAAATAAAGTTAATCAAAATGTGTATTAAAATAAGTTTCACAACATCAACAATAGTAACAGCAACCAAAATCACAAAACCAGCTAGAATATACAGTATTTACAGAGACAACAACACCACCCCATGTCACCCCTAGGTGGCAACCTAGAGCTTCAAGGCCTAGTGCAGAGGAGAGCCTGTTGCTGCAGCCTCTGTCACAGTCTCTGAGGATTTTTATGCTTTCCCCACCATACTGGGCACTAAGCACTTCAGTCACACGGGATGGGTGATACTTTACCCTTCCTCCTATGTGGCAGAACAGGTGGACCAAGCAGGTGTGTTTTTATATGACAAGATCCCAAGGGTAAGTAGGTTTGTAGCTCACACAAGCACCCTGCACTTTCAGTCAGACACTGTTCCATACACAGAGTCAAGATTGCAATCGTGTCTTCACACATGCACACACACCAAGTCTCAGTCATGTGCTGTCTCAGTTTCTCACAATCACACTTCTCCAGTCCCACACAAATCCAGTCACTCACTGAGGTGGTGGCTCTCACAGTTTTTATGCTGGCCATGTTATGCCACCTATTAATCACATCTCTCAACCAATTGTCACTCAGATCGCTCTGTCATTCACTTGTCCATTGTATCTGGACCACTCATAACTGACCACACAATATATTTATCATAATGTTCCCTCCACCATGATTACATCACTGTGGGGGCTGTGCATACTCCAAGCATCTTAATTTATGTATCTGGCTCATGATATCATTGAAGGCAGAAGTTCAGGCTTTCTGGAAACTTCAGGCCCTCTAGTCTTGCCCACATGCATATTAGCTGTTATGATGGAGATTATTCAGCACAGGCCAGCATCTGGGTTCTACAGTAGCTCTCTGCTAGCTGCCCCACTGGCAGATTGGGGCAGGGGGCTGGGACCTGCAGCTCTTTCCAAGCCCTGTGCCTCAATCACCCAATGAGGGAAAGGGGCTAGGAACTGTCCCTGATCAGGACAGTTCCCAGCCCCTGCCCAGCAGGCTGGGCAGAGTCTGGGCAGCTTGTTCCCTGCTCAGCTCTGTGAGCCCAAAGCTGGGGGTGGGCTTATTCTGTTCCCAGCTTCATGAGTGCAGAGTTGGGAGATGAACAGACTCCCTTGCCCCTACCAGCAGAGGAGCTCCAAGCACCAGCTCCACAACCATGGGGCCAGTGGTGTGAGATTCTTATCTCCCAGCAAGGGCTTCATGACCATGATCCTTATAAGAGTTTCCCAGTGCTGGCCCTACAGTTGTGGAGCTGGCATTGGGAGATAAAGATCTCCCAACCTCCTTGCTCCCTGACCATGATCTCATAGCAGGGGGCTTGGAGCTCCCTTCTGCTGAGGAAGGGGGACATAGTCCCTGCCTGGGCTCCTGTGGTGGAACGCACCCTAGCAGCAGGCAAATGGGCTCTTTCCTACCTCTGATAGATGGTTGGCCAGGAGCAGATTTTGCTCCCATTCAGGCATCTACACATGAGCTACTGCACTGTTACTAATCTTAAGTAAATTTGCTATTTGCATTTGAAAGTTGCAAATTTATTCAGGATTAGGGAGGTTTACTGTGTAGTAAGCATATGCACATGTAGATTCACATGCTTACTTTGCAGTAACCTATGCCTATGAGCAGCTAAGCATCTTGTGTAGATTCAGCTATAATGAAGGAACTGAAAGCAAAATGATGAACATCATCAAGCTACTATATAACATTATACAGGTTTGTCCTGTGTCTGTAAGGAATGGCGACATCTTGATAAAATGGAAGCAAATCCTACTGTAGTCAATGTGAAATGACTTCAACCCTATATTGCAGGTGAATTCTAGGTTCAACAGAGTTCAATCCTGGTAGAAGACTGTGAGCAAAGAGGACAAAAAGGAGCCAGAGGAGTTGATAAGTACAAGTGCACAGATTGGTGGAATGTTTTAAAACTTATTTAAGGAAAACATCAAATATCAAAGTTAACATGGAATGCCACCAGGAAAATAATACTATACTGGATTATTCTCTTCACAATTAAAACTAGTTTTGAAATAATCCAAAATCTACTACCTGCCGTAGGTAGAAATAAAAGAAAGAATTGCACATGTCCATCATTATGACAAATCCCTTGTAATTTATAATAATCATCTCTAGATTATTTTATGGGGCCATAAATAGAAGTTTGCAAGAACACTTAAAAAAATGACAAATGTAGTCTATTAGTAATAAGAGGGATATAAAAATGCATCTTAAATACACTGAAACATAGTCAGCCAAAGATCTAATACAGCCATGAAGACTTTGGTAAACATCAGCATAATATTTTAGATTTAAAGTTTAATAGTAACAAAAAGAATAGAATTCAGAATCTTTACTGGAACTGGAAAGCTAAAGATAAATGGTAATAATGTATATAAACTCTCACATCTAATTTACTAGCTCAGGCTGGTAACAATTGCAAAAACATTACTTCTACCATCTGCTAACCGTACAGTGGTCCTCTATTACCTTAGAATCTTCAAAACATTTTCACTACTAACATTCTTTAAGGCAGACTCATTAAGAAGCAAAGAGAACTATCTTTACCATTAGAAGTGGTTGTTTCAGAAATGAGAAGAAGCTTTTTGGTTGGGTTGAACTGCTTCCCACTCAGGAACTTAGCATATTATATTCAGATGCTAGTAAGCATTAATATGATTCAAAGCTTTTAGAGCAATCACACATTAATGCATATTGAGATCACAGTATGCATCAGACTTTAGAAATGGCCCCAGTGCAATCATGGGACTGAGACCAAAAATCAGGTGAAATTTTGGTCTCAGCCCAACAACCCACCAGACCCCATGCTGCCTCTGTCCCAGACCTCTGTCCCTGGCCTCCCACGACATAAGAATCTTGAGCCCTGCCCCTCCCCCTACTACAGTGGGGGGCAATCAGCTGTTTCTTTCTCAAAGTCCCCTACACTGCACTGAAGCCAGTTTACAATCCCCCTAAAGATATAGCATGAGAGTAAAAAAATGCAGTCTGAAAGATGGGGAGAAAATGATACTTAGCAAAACTAGAACTCCTATAGAAATATGGTTTTATTACTTTAAACTGGTTTTAGATTCACTCTTGACAACTGTATCTTAAACTGTATTTAAGAACATCTAAAGTCTTAACCTGATTGTACAATGAACTTGAATCAAGCAACAGCTCTTTTTACACATTAGATAATAGACATTTTGTAACCCAGGCTTAATAATGGCATTTGCATACAAACATTTATTTCCTTAGAATTCATCTGCTCCAATTACTTCTTCCTTACCTGAAGTCATAAACCTCCATATGGGATCTTAGTACCTATTCTGTTGCCAAGGGCAATATTATAGGGAACATAGGAGTGTGTTCTTCCTCTCTCTCAAACTCTCAGCTGGGGGTGAGAAGATCAACATGGTATGGGGGGGGGAAAAAAGAAAGAAACAAAACAACAACTAGAAATGGAAAATTTAAAAACAGTAAAATGGTAGGTTGTTAAAAAAAAAAAAGAAAAAGCAAAAAAAAACTTTCCTCTTAAAGAATATCAGAAACATCCTGCAAATAATTACATTTTTTATTAAATTATTTTTTTAAGTCCATTTATATCCAAAATCTGTTTACAGCCAAAAAATAAATCCAATCAACTCTAATGGTTACTTCTACCTTAGAAAGTGTCCAAGTATCTACAAGGGAGAGCAGTATAGAGAACTAGGTTAGACAGAAGAGTGAAAGGGATTTAGGAAGACGCAG